GCTGGTAAGACACCCACAAAATCCACCCATTAGCCCCACCCACACACACAGACAATTATTCAATTTTCTCAGACTGGAATCCAATTGGAATACAAGCCCAAACTGAGAAACTCCATTTAGGAGATGTGGGAGCTTGAAACTCCATCTAGGAGATGACACAACCCAACTGATGGGTTGAATCACCCAACGGTGGAGAGGGAGAGGGTGAGAGAGAGAGAGAGAGGGAGAGAGAGAGAGGAGCTGCGTGCCTTGGTGAACTAGCTCGGTAACCATGACAACGCAGCCGGGAGAGCAAGAAACAGGAACATACAGAATCTGTTTCTGCTGAGACTTGCACATGTGGCACAGTACTTCTTTTCCTCCGAGAAGAAATGAAGGGGAGGCGTGTGTGTGAGTGTGTGTGTGTGTGTGTGTGTGAGTGTGTGTGTGTGCGTTTGCAGGCCCTTATGAAACATACATGCCTGCTGTCTCTCTAACCAAACTCACTTTCCTGCCCTAGTCACCGAGTGAGTCACTACACAAAAGATATTATGGTGAAACTCAAAGCACACAACCCAGTGTTTAGTGGCAGGCTTTTGTCTCTTCTTTTTTTTCCAGCTACCAACTTACACCGAGGTAGAGGTTGGCCCGCAGTAAGAAGGCAAAAAAGATAAAACGCGAATAATGTAAGTAAGAAAGGGCAAAATTTTCCCTCTACAGCCGTTGTTTTGCCGATTTTCCTTCCCTGTGCCTCTCCGCCGCTCCCCTTCTGCCTGTCTTTTCTCTTTCCTCTTGCTCCCTCTTTCTACAGGCTCAGTCTAACCTCCCCCTCCCCTTTCCTCAAGGGAATAAAGGTCGTAACGCAAATGATTACTCAAACCCGAGTTGCCATAGAAACGCAGTCATGTGACTAGAGCAGGCATGCATAGACCACAACAAAGAGGTGGATCAGGAACCAGCGCTGGAAAGAGCTGTAGCTCGCCTTACTGGTGCCTCAGTGCATTTCACTCAAATTCAAGCTTTTTAAAAATAGGCGAGCAGCTTGAAACGCAAGGGGGAGAAAAGCAGAGAAAACGACACTGAAAAGAGCTAGGAGCTAGGACGAGAGGCTGTAATGAATCTAGGCTGTAACACTGCAGTGTGCCATATATTCTACCATTCACTAGCATACCAAGGGTGTGTCCTATTCATCATGTCCTTCTTGGAGGCAGAGCTCAGGCGCCAGTTGTCTGGAATTTCTGTGAAATGGCGTCAGTTGTAGAAATGTAGAGGGTGGTGGATTTTGTGTGCTTCTAAAATAGGAGTTGGAGTATGGAACCATAACTTTTTGCCGTGCTACACTTTCAAATTAGTCTCCCCCCGAAAGAACAAAAACAGATTTGTCTTAATACTTGTATATAGCAGTATGGCTATGTTACTTGTCGGAGATATTTTCTTTCCAAAGAGAGTTGAGGACAGGTATGCTTAACAAAAAAAAAAAAAAAATAAAATGTACCATCATAGATTTTAAAACAGTATCTATGCAAAATATAATCTACGAATTATATATAGGGATGCTTTTAAATCTTAACATATTCTGTTTCCAAATGTACCAAACAAAAAAACCTCTTCAATCTAATCATACAGCTTGAAGCTAAATCTGCAGAGGCTGCTGAGCACAACCGTCAGCAGGCCGGTGTGTCAATCTAAAGCAGGAACCAACACCTGGAGCAGAATGAGAAGGTGGCCTGCCCCAACAGGATTCAGTTATCCTGCATCCAATCCACCCCCACTGAGATTAGTCCCTGCCCTGGATGAACCCGGCGACCTGCGACCATCTCTCAGAGACCAACCAACATCCCCCCCTCACCAGAACACACACATTCACAAACACACACACACCCAGTCAAAGCTCCACATTTATAAATGTCTCCTCCAAACAACAATATTCTTGCTGGAGACATAATATACTGCATGGAAGCAAGTATAAGTGCAGAATATGTTCCAGATTCATCTTAATGTTAACAGCCATTAATTTTGGTGCGCTCCATCAACACTCGCCGAGCTAAAAGGACGGGGTACATTTTTTTCTGATGAAGTCACCACATCTGCGGTTATGAGCACTGTGTGTTTCAACGTCTATGCTCCCTTTCTCCCTCTCTCTCTCTCTCTCTCTCTCTCCCTCTCTCTCTCCCACACACATCTGAATCCACGCTTGCCTTCACACCAGTGCGCACACATACATTACAGAGATGTATGGGCAAACACATAAACACGCAATCTGGAGAGAGGGGCGTGAGCGCACTGTGACCCCCTCACTGACTGTTGGCCATTTCCCTCCAAAGTCCACCTCAACTCCCATGAGGCTTCCAGGCAGCAGCTGAGCGTTCAGTGATGTCTGCAATTATCCCGTGTCTAGACAATGTCTAGTGAAAGACAAGGAGATGCACATTCTGCCCAGGCTGCGCTCTATAGAAGAAAAAGGCCCAGAATAGACCACGATGTCTTTCAGTTGGTGACGTAGTGGTTAATGAAAAGGTTAAGGCCAGACTAGGAACTCAGCCACGAAGCACAGACATAAACAACAACAACAACAAAACAAACAAAAAAAACCCCCAGCTTTCATATGTAATTTTAATGAATTCCAAATTATTCTTTTATATGCTCATGGCTCTTGGCAGGCAGCATGCAGAGTAGTGAGCTAGTTCTTTACCTTTTTTTTTTTATTTAAATCTTGCTCACAAAAGCCTACTTTTCTTACTTTTATGAACTGATATCCATAAAGTGAGTTCTAGCCTGAGTCAAATGAGCGAAATCAATTTCAAGCGGGTTTATCCTTCAAAACATCTACTCTACTATGTAATGTCTTGTCCTTGTGCTGCCTTTTGTGTTACTTAAACATAGAATTGATCAAGCCTCCACATTCTTCAGTCTGTTGTGCACAAGATAATGAGTTGAAAACAAAAATGATGTTTAAAACTAAGTAGAAGACATGAAAAGAGATGATAACTAGCAGAAAGAATTTCTTTCAAATAAAGAGGGCATCATACTAAACACTGAATATGAGGTTTCTTCATTTCAACATGCTGTAAGTCAGTTTCGGAATAATTCTCTTCACTTTGTGGACTATAAGGCATGTGTTAGTCATATTTTGTGTTTTCTGCCCTCATCACACTGTTTTAGATTTAACTTAGTAAAATATCAAAGTTTCTAGGAAAAATGATAAAGATCTTATTTTGGTATAACTTCTCCATAAGACAAAATAATCTGAAGTAAATAAAAGAACCACAAAACAAGCAGAAACACGCAGCAGCTCGAAGCAAAGGTTGAAAGATATAATGGGCTGTGGTGAAAGAAAAGGCTATGAGAGAATGAGCAGGTGTGGTGGGAAAGACCCATGGGCTTCAGGGAGAGAATAGATCAATAACTAATTTCAGTACAGAGCTTCACTCGCACTGTTTTCCAATAAATGCTGGATGGAGAGTACTGGCTTAGCCCTCCCCCCACTATCTCTATTCTATCACCTTCTACAAGCAGCGATTGGACTCTATGGAAGGAGCCTGTTTTTTTTTTTTTTCCCTCCAGTGTTGAGGTTGTTGGTTGGGTGGATTATGTTCCTACAGCTAGTGTATAGTATAAATGTAATCCAACGTTGCCATTTCCATGTGTCCTCCATGAGCGCTCTCGCAAACCATTCGACATATGCCGTGTCTGTTTTTTTCACCGTTCTGCCTCCTGCAACCCCCTCCCTCCCCCTCTCTCCCTCCCCTCCCTCCCTGATTCGACCAGGGCCAGTGTTGAGGTTTTGTCAAGAGTATGCAGGGAGATTCAGACAGACAGGAGAGTGAAGCGTGTGTCATGCAGGGCTGCTGCTGCTGCTGCTGAGGCTCTTCTCCTCAGAGGCTGTGACCTAGATAACCAAGAGGAGCTGGAGCGCCTGCAAGCCTTGGAGCCACTCCAGCTTCAGCAATGTCAGGAAGGGGTTAGTTGTGTAACACAATGTCCTATTTAGTTTGCTCGTCACACACACATGGACGCAAACACATATGTACCCTATGGTGCCCTGTACCATCATAATACGCTTCTTTGAGGCACTGTTAGCCTGCTACTAAAGCTGTGATGGGCAGAAATGGGTTTTTGCACATGTGTGGGAGTGGAAGGGGGAACGACAGGGCCCCTAAATTCATCAGAATTTAAACATAAGCATTAAGAATGCTTGGTAAAACTTTCTACTCCACCAGCCACTGCAGCTACATTATGTCACAATAAAACCATGTCAAAACATCTAGAGGCACTCTCTCCCTGCTGTGCCACAGCATTTTATTCCGCCTGCTTTATTTCAGCATTCATGCAACTGATGTTTGGAGTAAGAACACAACCATGAGGTAAATATGTGGCACCAATTATTCCCTCGTTACAGGTAGGTATGAATGTGAAAGTCACATTCGGCGCCACACCGCCACTACCTGGACAATTACAAGCAGCGATGTGTTGACAAATGCAAAATAATGTCAAACGGCTGTAAATAGTAGGTTATCCGGACGCTGTGGGTGAAACACACATTTTTTTATTCTTCCACCTTCATGTTAAGTAAGGAGATACACATATTCCACAATGCACCACCATCATGTTGAGGAGATAAAATATAGATGGACCCGACTGTGCTGGAACAACTTTAATAGGCTGCACTGTGAATAACTAAATCTTTGACCCTGACATCTGAGCTACTTCTGATATGCAGGAGCAACACTGCCATCTGGTGGCTCACATTTTTATTGCAATCTCCTTCATGAAGTCATTTGGTTCATAACAAAACTGCAGTTTAATCAGAACAGTGAAAAAGTAGTTACACCTCAGACTATTTTGTACAAAATAACCTTGTATTTTAAAGTAAACATTAACACACTTGTCTGTTAATTTGGCACAGACAAACAGAATAAGAACTCAACAAAGGCCTCAATGGTAAGTTAGCTTGAGCTTAATTTATGGTCAAATATTTCACACAGATTATTTCAGGTATGTTCAGTCTTTCATTTCAGATTTTAGGCAGCACAGAAACTAAGCCGGTAATTGGTCAGCGTTGGCTCTGCTGGGGCTTGAAGCAGTCCCAGCCAGGCTTTGGGGTATATGTGTGCTCGGGATGAAGAAAGTCTTTCAGTCTGTCTGGTAGAGGCAAGGCTTTGACTCTGTCTTCCAGTGGCCAGGGCTGTAAGTAGCTCCTTATGTATACCCGACAAAGGCATCGCAGAGCTGGAGGGCTTGCTTCACGCTCTACTGCACGGTCATGCAGGTCTACCAGAGCCTGAGCGTATGGGTGAGGGTCCTGACCGGGCACAGGGAGCTCCAGCCTGCGAGGGACGTGCAGCTTGGGGAAGTTTACCCTTGCTAGGTCGAGCAACATCTCAGCCTGCTCCAGGAGCTCGGTGGCATGACTTTGATCAGAGCTCTGCTCCAGGGCCGTTTGGAGCCTCTGGAAAAGGAGTCTGTAACCTGACCAACAGGGGTAGCTGTGATAGGCGCAAACCAAAGCAACTCCACTCTGCATTAAGAGCACAGCCAGAGGGAAGAGCAGGTCAAAGTGCTCCAGGCTTGTCTGCGTCAGGGAGGGCTCGCCGTGATCATTCCGACAGCAGCTGGGGTCCCCTCCATGGGCCAGCAGAAGACGTGTGGTTTTCAAGCAGAAGACACCGATCTCAGCAGCCTCCTCGGCGCTGGCCTCCAGAGCCTCTTTTACCAGAAACACCAACGAGGACTGAACTGTTTCACCGTCTACTGTTGCAGCGTTAATGTCAGCACCTTTTACAGAAGGAAGCATTACTTAGAACCGCATTCGTGATCAATTCTACAACAGTTAGCTGCTATGCACATCAGAGCTAATGTGTTTAAATCGTGTAAATGAAATAATGAGACCGTTTGCAAATGGACAACATTATATTAATGACACCTGAGTTGCTGTTTGGGTCATTTATAAAACACTAACAGAGGATAGTGGTTACAGCCTTTAAAAATGTAAGCAGCAAAAACAGAGCTTTTGATGCCTACATTAGTTATCTAAACATATTCAGTATTGTGCTTTCATGAAGTTGGGAGTCCAGAGAGATATTTTATTTTTATAAAAGGCAAAATTGAAGACAGAGTTTGACATATTGTGACTTTTAGACTTTGGTATGACAGAAACACTGCATCCCACATCTCCTCGTCTCGCTCACAGACGTATGGTGCTGGAAGGCACACATACGGATCTTTACGGATTGTTAATAGTTTGGATGTTTTTCTTATATTTTTGACAGAAGGGTGCATGTGAATGACAAGCGTCTTTGTGGTTGTTGAGATGCTGTTTTGTTGTTACCTATTAATGTAGAGAAAGCTTTTATGATTCGAACTGTCACAACCAAGAGACTTATCCCAGAACACTGGAAATATGACTGTACATGAGTGCGTCAGTTGATGTGGAGATTTATGATAACCTTAACACTATGCAGACAGAAGGTGATGCGTTTCATGTCATCATCATCTTTGTACAAAATCTTTATCTGCTTTGTGCCTGGATCACAGGACCGCTTATGCTCCATTTTCAAAATCTATAAAAACTATATGTGCATATTTTAGCCTAACACGGGCCGCTTACTTTAATCTTAAAATGCGTACAGGTGGCAATAAGATTCTAAATGCAGTGCTTTAGCTGTGATGCTGTTTGAGGAAATATTTGAATGACCACGAGCAGACAAGAATGCAAAGTGAAAATGAAGGGCATTTTAAAGTCAGTACCTCTCTCAAGTAGAAGCTCAATGTTCTCTGTGTTGTGCACAGTGAGTCCATCACTGCTTGCCAAGGCGTGGAGCAAAGGGGTTTTTCCTTTGGAGACAAAACCAAAGCAGTTACCTTTCAGAATTAATGAATGGGAGTATGAATTAATATTTTTCCAATTAGGTTGACCAGTGTGAATTTACCATGTTTATCTCTTGCATTCACAGCAGCTCCAAGGTCCAGCAAGGTGAGCAGGCAGGGCAGTCTCTCTGACTCCTCACTAGCAAGGTCCAGGGGACTGCTTTCATGGATCTGAAAAACAAGGTAGTAGATAGTATTGATACCTAACGATTGAAAAAACACGAGTTGATTGAATGAGAGGACACAGAAAGTCTGGAGCTCACCCTATCCCTCTTTTCAATGTCAGCTCCATGTCCAACCAGCAGCTTCACCATGTTCGGTCGGTTCCTTAAAACTGCTATATGTAGTGGATTGTAGTATGACACGGGGTCTTGAGAGTGGAAAACAAAAAACCATGTTACCCAAACACAGTCTTTATCATGGGAATGAAATATATCAGACAGATAAGGATTTTGACAACAGAACATTTGTCATTAAATGTGATTGGGCAAAGCTTTCCAAGCGACTGCACAAAGGTGGCTAAAGCCGTGGCTACACTGAACATGTAATTCATGCAGACCATTAACAGAGCTGTTGTTCCAACTCTACGCTTCCATTACAGTCAATGAAACTGGCTACACCTGGCATGTGAGCAACATGTAGGTAGTACATATGTGCCATGGAGGTCCATTCTTTAAGCATCAAAATAGACCAATCTTATATTTATACTTTTTACACGAGATGTGTTTGGTCTGTTTTTTATAAAAAAGCACAAAAAGTGGCCATACTTTTAAAATTAAACTACTGGTACACATGAAATAACAACTTTGCATCATACAGGGCTTCGACTTTGGGGTCTTGATCACTCCATCTGTATTTATTTCACCAGTATCAGCTGTCGGTTGCTAAGTAACTTTATCCCTAACATAGTCCAACATAGTCTGTGGATGCTACCCTGCCCATACTACACAAACTTGGTGAAAAACTGAAAAGTTTCACAGCATTGGGCTGGCTCTAAAAGCAAAAGACATAATAATCCCAAGACCAAAGCTCAACGTCATGTTTTGCCAGTAACAAGATAATTCTACCGCACAGCCGCTCGGCAAGCGGTCCGCATACATTACGTGTTCAGAGCAGCAAGACCCCAATGTTCTTGAGAAAAGACTGTCTAATTAAAAAAATAACCACGTAAGCTGTACCTAGATACATATTATAATTAGAGAAAAAGTCAAAGGAATACAGAAAACAAAAGTAAACATAGAAAACACAAAGCAATAACAGAAACATTGTAATAAAAAACCCAATAAAATAAGATCAGAGCAGTGACACAACAGAAGGGTTTTTAAAGAAATGAGTAGCAAACATCTGTCTATACGCATGTCACTGACACATTCACGTTTCTGTAAACACTCCAATCCATAGTCCATAGAGTGCAATATACAGTACAAATAAGCACAAGAAAAGAAAGGACGGCAGACACTTGAAAAAGTGAAACTTGAGTGGTTTTGCATGCTATGTGGAGCATTTGTCAGTGTTAACTTTCTGGAAAGAGGCATTCAAGAAATGTGAAAGATGAATGAAGCAGCCTCTGCCAGAATTCTCTAATTATGTCCCTGGGGGAACACATGTCTAAAACCACCAGAGGTCACCACAGCAGAGTTTGGCTGAGTCCTGGCAGGTTTTATCTCAGCAGCAATACATGCTCGATTTTCACTGCAATTTCCTATAGGGAGACTTATTCTCTTATGTTCTTATCAGTGACAACGTGCTCATTATACATATGCAGTTACTTGTGCAAAGTAGAAAAGAAGAAGTCTTCTCATGCTTCAAAGTACAATCTGTCATTAAATGTTCATTACAAATGTAGAGCATTTACGGTTACGCGTGTCGCTTGGTCCCACCATCACATACAAAAAGATGGAACAAGATGAATGTTAGAGAACTAATTACCTTCCACGCGAGCACACACAAAAATACATTTACCTTTGAAAGTAATTTGTAACAGCTGGCAAACCTATTCATTATCAACAGAATATAGAGTACAAGATTCACAGTTTCATTATTTTCTTTCCCTTTGAAATCTGTGTGCCATTATGTTGTTCATTTGGTGTAAATCCACTGCAAGTGGCATAGATTCATAAAGCTCCTAGTCCCTGAAATTACTTTTTCTAAATGTCTATTTAATAATATGACATTTTGAGGTGTGATTTCCACCCAACCTGAACTTGGTCGTCCAAGATTAACAGTCATCTTAAAGGTTTGTGGCATGTCTGACATTACCAAGTAAATTTTCTGATTTAGAACAATGACTTGGAATCTTTAAAAAACAAACAAAAACTATGAGTCACAGTTAAGAATATGGTGGCGTTGTGGATATTTTACTCCCAGGATTCTACCCTTGAATAAAGCAACAAACACACTGCTGGGTTGTCCATAAATCTACTACAGTCAACAATAATGCAAATGAAATGACATCATTACAATGGAGAAGACCCTACACAGCATGGGGGGAGAGACCTCTGTCCTCTCTCCCACATGGAAGAAGCACAATGCAACAGCATTCATGGTGAGCAGACTCTTTTCCATTGGTTCATTGTAAATAGATTGTAAGTTTAAACCTCATGGCATAGTATCCATACCATGTAAGAAACCTAAGGTCATCTTTCCAAAGACAAAACCACTTTAGGGGTAACCATTTCTACTCTAGTTGACCTCCAACCTTGACCTTTTGACCCCTTGGTAACTCTTCTATAATTAGGCTATGACAAAGTTACTCTACTAACCTTGAACAGTTTCAGGACAACAAAGATACAGTTACATAACATGAAAAACAGATAATAAATGATAACCTAAGAGCTCATGGTTGATCTTACTTTCACAGCGGTATATAGCGCTATATTATTACAATAGTATTACTTATTTCTTCAAGAGCATCTCATTGTACCAAACTGGTACCAAATAAATTAACAATATATACATGCTGCACTTAACTCCCAGTTTTTATACAATACACCTGATGGTTGATTTGACCTGAAGGTATTCTTTTCATCAAATCAATAACACTCTCTAGACAACCTCCTGGTCAGCCAACAGAGTGTCTGTAGTCAGAAGTAATTTGTTATTAACCACTGCAAAAGCAATTTACATTTTCTCTCTGAGCCGCAATCTACATTCTGTACATTCGCTACATTTTGCATTCAATTTTGCACATTAATGGCAGCATCTAAATGTTTCTGATTGTCGACATTGCTATTCTTATTAATCGATTATGACTAAATTAAATGCACTACTTTGGGTCGGATGCAGCTGCCTTTCTCTTACTGTAGTCATTCTGTGGTCTTAGTCTCTCTCGCTGGGACACAGCCTGCAAAAACTGAACAAAAAACATACGCCATCACTACAAACCAGGAAATGTACTGCTTTCACAGCGGCGTAGGCTACACTAATGGCTAGCGGCCAAGTCAGATTACCCCTGAACAAAACTAGAAAACAATAACTAATATTGCTTTAAGATATGGGCCTTAGTGGCAAACACAAGTGACAGAACAGAGAAAAACTATGAAAACAGAGAAGAGCAGTGGACGGAACTGCGAGAGACAAACTGTTCAATTCAACTGATCGATCAATAAACAGAAGAGAACGTTATAGCCTCCTGTGTTGTTCTGACGTCATCATTCCTATTGCTAGGAGCTGCCTTAATCATGAAGAAGCCTAGTTATGAATGACAGGTTCCCTGCTATCAAACACTGTTCAAGTATAACATATATGTGTATCAGTTAAAAATATTGGTTATTGGTCTTTCTTGATGACCAATAATTGGAATCAGTATCAGTCCTAAAGAAACACATACACACGAAAACATATCGATCAATCCCTTGTTCAGGGTGTACAACTAGGGGTGTACACTTCTAGCTAATGAATGGATTGATTGTAGCTTCTGTATTTTGTAAATCTTTGTCATTTAAGAGAATTGCTGCTTTTGTCATTTTTGTGGATTGCTGGTGTCATTTCCCCCTTGAGGAACAATAAAATACTCTGTCTACCCATATATGTGCAGTTGTTAAAAAAACACACATTTTTCTCACATGGATATCATTAAAATTAATATGCCAGTGTACGAGAGCCAGGAAAGCATCTGTCTGAAACATCCAAGTCTGTTTACAACTTTGACAACCCATATGCTGTCCCAGATGTGTGACTGGTCCATATCTTGTAAAATCAAGGTATATCACTGAAAACGATTGATATATAGCGGTGCTTTACTGAGATTACTGATAAGACTACTATTACTGAAACTGATGTAAGATACCTGTGTAATAAATAAGCCAACCATGTTTTCAAGGACTAAATTGCAGTTGATCAAACATCAATTGCAAGCGAGCCTTATAAGCAACACAACTGCTGATTTATGAACAATGCATAATAGAACATATGCAATTAGGTACAGTAATATTTGACTATTCACACTTTAGTAAAACTAGCAGAAAATGTTTAGAATGTGAAGTAAAAACAAAACATACAATATTAAAAGAACACTATCAAATGATTACTCACCTTCAAAGTTTAGATCAGCTCCAAAGCGTAGAAGGATTTCCGCTGCATCCACCAGCCCCCGCTCTGCCACTTTAAACAGGGCATAGCTGATACCTTCCACAAACACTTCTGACTTGGACTCTCGCTCCAGAAGCTCCACCAGAGAGTTACATGCACCGGACTCATCCTCAGGTCCTCTGATATGAGTAGAAAGAAGTTGCTCTTTTTCGTTCAAACTGTAAGAAATGCCACCAGTGTTTCAACCAAATGCAGTTGGCACGAGTAGTAGATGTTACACCACAGAATATGTATAACAAAACCAATGACTGAAAATGAAAAATGAAACTTTATGAGCTACATTTTCATATCACATCCGCCATCTATACATTGCTTCATCCTCTGTGGGTCTCCACACAGAAATACCCCGGGCCGGGAAGCCAATCAAGGACCTTCTAGTTGTCAGGCGACAATGCTAACTCTGCCTTACATCATGTCCCACATCATAGAAGTAGTTTATTTGTTTATGATGACTATGAAGTATGGCTGTAACTAGCAATTATCTGCACTGTTCTTTATTTTATCCATTGATTAATTTGCTGTTTGGTCTATGGAATGTTACTATAGGGTCTGGTTTTGTTCACAACTCAAAGATATTAGGTTTACTGGAGTAAAAAATAAGAGAGCCAAAATAAAAGAACTTTGATTTAGTTTTTTAAGATAATTACTCAAGCCAATTAATCGATTACAAATAGAAACAGAAAACATTTATTGTCATTATATTTAGGATACAACAAGATTTGGAGTGCTATTCCAGCTTGGTGCATCAAAGTAAAAGTAACAAAAAACACACAACATTCAAAAACAAAACAAAACAAAACACAAACAAACAAACAAGAAACAACTAAGCACACCATAAAACCATTGCACACGATATTGTTATCTTCAAAGCAGTTGACAATTAATTTGATAGGCAATAACTGGATTTATTTTTGCAGCTATACCATGTAACACATTTTGCTTTTGGGAAACTTTATCACCTCTGTGAGGAAACACTTAAGTGATGGAATAACAGAAGATGGAGAAAGTCAATCTCGCAACAGTACAGTCAATGAGACAACATTCATGTCTCCAGTTTTACCTGTCCTGTTGACCTGCGTCTCCTTCCTCCAGTCCAACAACACACATCACGGCATCGACCAGCGGCTGATACTCATAGATGATCCTTCGGAAGCCGTGGAGGAAAGGCATGGCTCTCCTGCTCTTGTAAGTGCGTAACTGTAAAAAAAACAGCAGAAACGTTAGAGCCTCAGGGTGTGTCGTGGTCAGAGGTTTTACAGATTATCTCTTCAAAACAACCGACAAATGTCTTTTCAAAACGGGTGAACAGCAACAGCACACACGCCAAAGTAAACGCTTCGTTTCTCTTTTACCATATTATCCAAATAGTGTGACTCCTTTACATTCAGTTTCATTTAAGCTTTTGAATTACAACGGCAGTTAACGTTTACCTCTGGCTAGCTAACGTACAACTATATTATTTATGTCGTAATAAAAATTTAAAAAAAAATACAATTACAAAAAAAAAGCTACATAAGGCGCATGTAACGTGTCGCAGCCAATACCAGCATTGCTGGCTAAAAAATCTGTCATTTACCTGATTAAATATTAATAAAAGCGAATAGAAGTAACTCATTTAGTTTCAGATAACTGACGCCAGCGGTTCTCCCTCCTCACAGGAAGCCTCCACCAAAACCACGTCAGTCCGGCGCTGTTTACATTCCCAGGTGAAACACGGCCGACGAAGGTTCCTATTTACACATTAAAGACTTACCACAAACTCAAAGATACAGGTTTGCTAGACTATTACTACTGATATAAAATTCTGTTTTTAAGCATACCATTTTTATAATGTAATATTCTATAAAAACAGACTTACAAATAAAAGAGCAAGTAGACACACCATAGACTGTATGAGAATATAGTCTGATTCTTATACATTCTTATACAGTCTATGAGACACATATCTGTTGTATTGCTTTAGCTGTTGAAAAACAATGGCAGAGATTGAAATGTTTAATGCAACTACAGAGTATTTTCTCCACATGTTTTTATGCACTATTGCATGTTAATAACTTTGTGCCATCATTCTCCTATGGCTTGTGATTTCTTTTTTTTCTGTCCTCTCTGTCCCTGGATCTCTCTACAGGTATTTCTGACTCTGGAGCTTCATGGGTCAGATCTGCAGTTACTATTTCCACCAGTCTTTTCAGTGTTTGTGTTCTCTTGTTTGTTGTCTATCTGTCTGTCTCTGCATTTATCCTGTTGTCTTTCGTCTTCACTGTCCCCCCAACTGGTCAAGGCAGATAGCCACTCCATTGTCCCTGAACCGGGATCTGCAGGTCTCCTTCTATTAAAAGTTCTTTCTCTCCACTGTGCTTATGGGAATTTTTTGGATTTGTCGAAATTTTCATGTATAATATTAAAGGGTCTTAACTTTGATATTAAATTAGTCATGTAATTTGGTAGAGTTTATTAGGACTTAATAATTTTATTTTATTCATTATTGTTGGCTTTTTAACCGTAAAATTTACATCACGCAAGTACATTCACATAATAAATGTTATTGTAGGGTCTTAACCTTAATATTTGTGCTATTTAGGCAATACCAATCTTACTTCTCTACTAGAAAGTGTTTGTCTTTATGGCTGTTGTTTTTAATGTGCCAAATAAATAAAAGTAACTTTTGAGTGTATTTTTAATGAACGGTCGAGCACACCAGAGAGTCTTCAGTGTTTCATTTCAAAATCATTATGTTTAGGAAGTATATTCAGTGAAAAGAGTATTTTAACAATTAACCTTTATTCTAGTGCCAATAATATGGATATTTACTCGTTGTTTGCTATGAGTACTTTTGAAGAAGAATGTAACTGCCCGAAAAAAAATGGTGCTGATAATTTCAACAGCATCTGGCAGATAGAACAAAATATGGGCCTACGGTCACTTGTTGGCTACACTGTTAAAATTGTGATGATAGACTTTAATAATTGATGAGTGAACACTTAATGAGGAAACAGCACATGCTTTTTTAAAAAATATACAAACTTCCCTTCGCCCTTAAAGGGAAGTGATCTGGTGGCTTTGTTATGCCGTGGTGGGCAATTTGCTGGTATGATTTGGGCCCACTTGTTCCTTTAGAGGAAAACATCACTGCAAATTAATACAAAGTTGTTCTAATTGATCACTTTTGACTTAAGATGAAACGTATCTATTAGTGGTCTCTTCCAGAGTGACAATACCTTGATCCGTAGGACACGAAGGGTCACTGAATGGTTTGATGAAAATGATGTGAATCATATGTTGTGACCTTTACAGCCATCAGATCTCAATTCATTTGAACACCTTTGGGAGATTTTCAAATAACGTGTTAAACATGCGCTCTCCACCAGCATCATCAAAACACCAAATGTGGAAATATCTTTTGGAAGAATCATGTTCATCACTCCAGTAAAGTTTCAGAGACTTTCCAGAATCAAAGCCAACCCATGTTGGTTTTTAGATAATTTGTCACCCATGTCAAGCAAAATGAATATGTTCTATTAATACTTGCAAGACAATCAGCAAGTATTACCATGATAATCATGTTATGCCTGTATAACATACTGTATTATGTGGCAATTCATGAGCTAAGACCACACCATCAAACTGAAGCTTGGTTGTTTGTTGGATACAAATGAACGCTGTGTTGGTGATTACTTAGATCAGCTGATTCTGTGTGGGGAAATGTTTAGTCAGGGATCAGCAGCAGCTCCTGGACCAGGGTTGGAGCAGATGAGAAGCCAATACACTTGAGGCCCGTGGCTTTGATTAGGTCCAGAACCCCTTGACTGGAAGCTGCATCAGTACAAAAGGAGTGGCCAGAGAACATGCAGGGATTCTGGATGTCATCACGACTTGCTTGAAGTGGAAGAGGAGTCAGGATAAGGTTGCAGCTTGACCGGTCTCTGCAACAAACTGAGGGATCGAAAGGCAGAGCATCATAACATTTTCTGACTTGTGTGTCTGTGTTCTACGAATTTGTAAGGGCTTGGGTGTGAATCTAGTTTGGAGTACATGATGGCCATTGGATTGCCTGCTTGATTGGTTTTATTTCGTTTGAGTGAACAGACCCTGCAGTCTTCAGAGATGCAGGAAGGTCGAATACAGGATGTGGAAGAGGTACTGTAGGATGGCAGTGCAGATCGAACTCGACTCGTCAGTCAATGTTATGATGGACTCTCTGTGTTGCAGGACTTTGGGAAGGCCAATAGAAATGTTGATTCTAGAGTGCTGGCTAGAGACTGGAACGTAGGACGTTGGAATGTATTAATGCCTTAGGATAGGTGGACAGATGTCAGAGGGAAAATGACCATAATTAATAAATTATGCTGAGGAGGTATCATGGGAATTTTGAGTCCCAGATAGAGGTGAGCAATATGAGATGGAGCTGGATAATGTAGCTACATTAAATGATGGAAGACGGTGCAGAATCTATTACAGAGGGAGAGAAGGGAGTTGATGATATTGTTGCAGTAGCCCGGGAAGTGTTGAAC